AACAAATACATAGGGCAGTTTCGTGATATCGTCATGGTGAATGGGTTCTGGTTCCGGGAGACCTAACTTTCTATCCGCAAGGCGCTGACCAAATGTTGTCACAGCTATCACCCCTCCATCAGAAACTCTATTGTTAACACCTACATCGACCATGAAAAATTCATAGTCAGCATTCACAACCGCCATTAAAACTATACTTTAGTTGAAGTAAAATGACCCGGATCCAGGAGGTTTCTTGATGGCAATTCGTTCTCCATCGATAGCGCCGATACAGTGGGGAAAGTTCCATGTTGAGGCGAAACCGTTGCTGACTTCGACCCATTCTTCAGGGGCGGTAGGCATCTGAAAATACAAGTTAAATAACAGGTTTTAAACATTTAGCTAATGTTTCAAACTGAATAATGACATTGATCTTAATTACTTTCAGAATAGTGGTAATGATATCGGCCAAGATGAGGATGAGAGAGCTGAGAATCAGGAAGCGTCAACAGTTAATCACGAAACGGTTACTTCAAACGAAGGTACAAGAACACCTCCCCTGTCGACCTCCCTTTATCGGTACAGACATTGAGTTCAGCCCAAGCTTCCAGCCAGTAGAAGTGAACTAGAGTTGTCTCCCGAATTTCAACATTCCAAATCAGGCGAAATCTTTCTGTGTATAGACGATGGCACTGACGATCGAATTCTTGGTTTTTCCACCGACCGGAATTTACGCCATCTGGCCAGGGCTGATACATTTTATGGTGATGGTACGTTTTATGTCTGCCCTAAATTATTTTACCTGTTGTATTCCATTCATTCTATGGTAGATGGGGTGATGGTTCCTCTTTGGTTTTTTTTCCTACCGGGCAAGAGGGAAGAAACCTATAACAGGATGTTCACCTTACTTAGAAATAAAGTTGCCGAGTTAGGTCACCGTTTGTCACCAACGACTGTTCAGATGGATCACGAGATTGTGCCCAAGAATACTGTGTTATCAGTTTTACCAGAATCGCTATGGAAGGGTTGTTTCTTCCATTATACCCATTGTATTTGGCGACGAACTCAGCAGTGTGGTCTGCAACGGTAGTATGGTAATGATGAAGAAATAACCCGATTTATCCGAAGGTGTGTGGTTTTACCCATGGTTCCATACGATATGGTGGGGGATGTTTTTATCAATGCCATGGGTGATATACCAGACGACCCAAGATTAGTAGAACTTGCAGACTACGTTACAAGTCAATGGTTGGAGGGTGTTTATGGATTACATGAATGGAACCATTATGGTTCGGACACCCCAAGAACTAACAACACATAGAAGGCTGGCATAGCCGTGTAAAGGAACTTGTAGGAAAAGCCCACCCCAACATATTCGAAATCATTAATTTCTTGAAAGAAGAGCAAGATGCCATGGAAATAAGGATGGTGCAGTATGCGGCCGGTCAGCAGCAACCTCCCAAAAACGAAAATACAAGACACTTTAATCAAGACTTACCAATAATATAGAACAGTATAGAAATAACGTACTAAATGTATACGAGTTTGCAGATTCTGTATCATATTTGTTAAAACTGAAATAGTATATGTTCTAAATAAATGAATTACTTGAAGAATATTGTTAATTGGCTATAACCCGATTACATCGGCTTAAGTGTACTATGATAACACTCAGTAATCCTATTGTTCTCAAAATCCATTTTTTTGACAACATTCCCGAGAAGTGACCGTTTTTGGTTTCTACATGTTATATTAAGACCCAAGCGGTGACTTCGTGGGCATGAACCCTACCTTCATAAGTTATTATAGTAAGAACAATGGGAAAATGCATTCAATTGTATTGGTATAATATGGATGTATAAGCCACAACTCTAGTTCTATTGCGGTGACCATCATATTGATAGTGACAAAGATGTATCTGGTGATGTCTATTTGTCGAGTCTAAACGACAAGTACCTTTTCAGTGTGTAACCTTTCATGGGCACCTTTTTCTGTCATCCAGGATGTCTGTCTGGAAATTCGGTCTTATGAGATTTAGCTCCTAGATGTATCGATGCAGTATTTGAAAAAATTCTATGTGACCTGTATAGTCAGAAATGCCTCAGTGAATGAAGATAACTGGAGATAACTGTTCTGGTTAAAGACTTCCAAGTGAGCAAAGTTAACCTCCAACTTCTGATGCTTTAGCCCTTCATGTTCAGAGCAAATTAGAAGGCTGCCATACATAAACGCTCGCTGCATCAGTACATGTCCATTCCTTCGCCATGAACCATGCATGGAGTGTAATCTTACTCAGACTATTAAAGCTAACATTGACTATTTGTAGTCCATCGATCATTAATGATGATTCTGAGGTTGTAGTTTCTAACTTGAGTTCAACTGTGTGATTACACTTTGGGTGGGTAAAGACATGACCTTGTGAACTTCTGTTATGTGGAGTTGTTCTTTCTGTTACACTATACGTCCTATACATCCGAAGACAACTCTACATATGCTTATCCTCGCATGATATGCTTTATGCACGCTTACCTATGCCTTTATATATCACAGTCCTGGGACTCCCTTTAACTTGTATCACGCCGTGGCTGCATGGAGGTAAACTTGGTCAGTTGTACCGGATATTCACCCCAGTTGGCTGTCATCACTATTTTAGAATAAATATTCAATCAAAACAAAATAGTTGAAATTATATGATATAACCAACACGTATGCAGTCACTTGTGCTATTATTGCGCATTTGAAAATTCTGACCAATAATAGGTCTTAAACTGAGCATGTGATACGAGGAGGAGGGTGACCCTGGATAAGGGTATATATTCCGAAACAGAACTAGTTTCGTGGAGTTTAGATTCTGCTGCAATCAATATACATGATATTAGATTTATAATACACAACGTGAAGCTTTATAACAGAATTAAAGGATATAGACCAACGAAGATATAGTTTTATATTGAACATTCCGGAAGTGTCACCTTTCTATTACGGCGTAGGTCGGAAAGGAAGTTTGAGGCACATTAATCTTTTATTGTATCGGATTAAGCACTATCATATTTTTTTTCTATTTGTTCTTAGTTCGCATTGGATGGATAACGTTTTCATTCTAGTCAGATGTTTGTTTATACCTAAGCATTGATATTTGCCTTGATTTCAGTTTCAAAATTTGGTGGACCTTGGTGTTCCTCTCCTCAAGTTATGCAAGTACGACAAATAACGTACAATTTGTATTTCAAAACAGATTTTATGCCTCTTACAGTACTTGGGTGCTCAATTTCCACTTTGATTTGGTTCCTTTTGAAAAACAAATTAAGGAATTGCAAGATTCTATCGACGTTTTTAAGCAATTTATTGCTGCTCAACACCCATTTTGATAAGTTGAAAAATGCTTTTAAAAATTTCAAATTTCAAGTCACGACAACTTCAAAACCACGTCGTTCAAAACGAAGTTTACTCCCATTAGGTGGAATTGCCACTGTCACAGAAGAGTTTAGTTGATTCCCAAATAAATGACATGTTAAAAGCTGGTGTTATCAGACCCAGTTCCGGTGAATATTCATCACCGCTAGTGCTCATTCCTAAGCCCGACAATACCTATCGCTTCTGTATTGATTTTCGGAAATTAAAAAATCAGATTACAAAAAATTCTTATCCTCTTCCTCACATGGATGATTTGATTTCTTCTTTAGGGGACTGTAATTACTTCACGTGCCTTGATTTGAAAAAAGGCTATTGGCATTTGAAATTGATGAAGATTCTAAGCATAAAACGGCATAGTCGAGGAGATCCTACCCTGTCAAATAAAAGGACATAAGTTGGAGGACGTCTTTGAGGTAAAGGTCATCCATACGCTCTCTTGCATACAGATTGTTTCTAGGGAACTCGATTTTATAAATAATTTCTTAGTTAAGTATTAAGGACATATAAGTTTACCTGTGTTTTGTGATCGTGTATATAAACTACATATTATTAAAAGTGAATTGGTTTTTCCTTCCTCTACTTGGGGAAGAGACTCCTGAAATAGAATTAAGGAGGGGAGCAGACTGACTTAATTTCAACACTACAGGAGTATTGATAGTGAGAAAAAAATTGTGTGAATGACATTAGATCCAGTCTCGGAGGCTGTTTTAAAATATGTCCGTTGTAATTGCTCGAGTAAATGTGAGACTAAAAACTGATGCTCCTGTCTGTAAGTAGTCAGATGTTGCGTGTACACACCCATGTTGGTTATACAAAGTGTGATAATACTCTCAATAATCCAGAACATGATGTAACATTGCTAATCGTTGTAAGAGATCTACATTAGTCCAGAAGTAAACTATAGGGAATCACGGGGGTTAGCCTTCAACATGTAATAGTCAAATAGGGGTAATCACGGGTGGTAACCTTTAATCTGTAATCTTCAACACTTTTAAATTAACATCGGTGTGGTGGTTATGTAAGTAATTAGAAACAGATGCTAGTATACAAAGGAGACCTATCCCATGTCGGCAGGGAAGGAGACACTTAGAGATTAAGAAACTATAGGGGTATAGAAAAGGAATCGGTCAGGCATGGCAATTAGGGGTGGCAATTAGGGTTAAGGAACAGCAAGGAATCTTTTGACAAAAGAAATATTTCATATGTTGGCCATATGGGGGGGGGAGAGATAGTTAGGGTTTGGGGTATTCATTCTTTAGCTGGGGAGAGGATCGCTCTAATAGTAGTATAAGTGTTCATAGATTGTTCGAAGGGAATTCCCCTTTTAATGGGTTTTCCCCTTTTCATGGGAATTCCCCTTTTTTTCATTTCATGGGAAAAATCCAAACAATCTATGAACTCCCAAAAAAACAAGACTTAAATTCCCTTTATTTCATAAATTCCCTACATTTCATAAATTCTTACAGCAAAATACCCTACTTTTCATAAAACATCCTACATTTCATACACTAAAAACACCTTCAATCAATTTCCTACATTCCATCAATAAAAGCATATTAAAATAACTCTTTTTTTGAAATTTTCTACTCAAATTTTAAACCTTAAAAATGGCAAATAAAATACTAGATCCAATCTTTAGATTATACGATCCAATTCGTTATTCATTTAACAAGAAAAAAGAGGATTATATTATCATCTCACCCACTGTTGGTTCTAAATCCCAATTGAATGATGGTGGTAGAATTACCTTCGAAATAAATTCATTATCGAATTGGTTGCTTCTTTCCGATGCTTATTTCAGATGCGATTTCAAAATTAAAGATGGAACTCCCAATGAAAATCGTGTTCCACAAACAAATACAACGTTAGAAAACAATTTCTTTCCATCTTTACTTAGCGAGATGGTTTTGGAAGCTGGTTCAAATCCGATAGAAACAATCAAACATCCTGGGGAATTCGACACAATGTTGAAAACAGTTTTATATCCTAAAGATTTCGATTCAGTTTCAGGCTCTATACCCGATGTTGGCGATGGAAGTGTTTTAAAGGAACCGGTAAGAAATCTTGCAAATGATGCCGATTTAGCTAGAGTGAGAGTTGTTGCTCGAAACACGATAGAAAGAGTAGGACGAGCAGTTAATCATGGATTCGAAAAACGAGTACTTCAGTATAATAATGTTGTTGAGAATAATAGGTGGGGTAATTACGTAAATTAGAAATTATATCCTTTATTCGGTCTGTTGGAATATAGAAAAGTTTCCATAGGCTTACCATATAAAATTCATCTACAAAGAGAAATCAACGATAATAAGATATTCTTTGGAGAGAATGGTTCAGATGCAAAATTAGAAATAACGAATCTCCAACTTTTCATACCCGTAATAACACCATCAATTGAAGTAGAAACGAGAATATTCAACTCGTTAACTAAAGATATTGAAATAGCTTTTCTTCATCGCAATACGGTGGATAGCATGACTTTAACTGGAGAATCCACCACATGGCCAATCACTAACACTATTAAACCAGCAAGATATTTAATAGTTGGTTTCAAGAACTTACCAGATTCTCAAACGAATAACAATAATGCCTTTAGAGTGGCAATGAACCAAACTCAAGATCCTTTAATCCATAAAGTTCAAGTAAGATTAAACAACGATAATTATCCTAACCAACCTTTAACAATTAATCCAACCACAAAAGATTATAATGAATTGTATAGAAACTATAAAAATATGTGTGAATTATTCGGAAATCTACCTCAGTTTGAATATGTAGATTTTGCACTTAATCATCCAATCTTCTGTTTTGATCTTTCAGCTCACCAAGAAGATCTTTTCAAAACAGGAGTGAACATAAATATTCATATTGAAAAAACACAAGGAGATATAACAGGTTATTGTTTATTATTGGAAGAAGCAAAACATTTAATTAAAATAGCAGATAGAAGAATGATAAGAATTGAGTAAAAAATACACCTTTAAAAATGAAACCAGAAACTTTAGTCAAGAAAATAATAGAAGCTATAGAAACAGCTTCACCAACTACAATAACTTATAATGGTAAAAATATCAGCATAACTAAAAAACTTATTGATAAATACAAATATTGTAAAGTCAGAGACGATATAGACTTAGAAAGAATTGACGCGAACGCAAAAGAAGGTGGATTTATATTTTTCCTACCTTTAATATTTAGTGGACTTATTCCAGCCGGTACAATAGCTGGTGCTACAGCTGGTGGAATAAAAGCTGCCAACGATAAGAAAGCAGATGAAGTAACAGCTGCTGCCAACGCAAAGAAAGCAGCCGAAGAACGTAGACACAATTTAGTAATGGAAAAGTTGGCAGCAGAGGTTAAAAAACCTAAAACGGAAAAGAAAGGTTCAGTAGTGGGAGAAATGATAGGCACAATGAAAGAATTTGGAAAAAGATTTAGTGAAGAAACCAAGAAAACTGTTAAACAAGGATTAAATAAATTAGTAGATAGTATTGACACAGGAGAAATCAAAGTCAAACATAAGGTTTTTGAATGGCATTTAGCAATTGTGAGTACGATATATAGACACAGCTTTATGGAACAACAATCACTGGTTAAAGTTTTATGCAACGTTTCGACGTGTTTCCCCCGTCGTCCTCAGGCACATAAGGTTAAAGGAATATTTGTAAAAAATATACACACCGGAGAAGGAATATATCTTTCGAAGTATAAAGGAGAAGGAGTTATTTTTGGAACAAATTAAAATAATAAAAATGGGCAAAAAATTTAATCATTCAGAAATATTTCCTATTAACCCAATGCTCATGTGTATATGCGGTAGTTTCGGTTCTGGGAAAACTCATCTCACTTTTAACATGTTGACAACACCAAACCTTTTAGATTTCGATTCTCTCTATATCTACACAACAACACCAGAGCAATCGTATTATCAATTCCTTAAAGCTTTAGAATATCTACCAAAGAGAGATGTTCAAGACCTATTTCAATATTACGAAGAAAACGAAGAAAAAGTGGAATTAAAAGATTTCATAGATAACTACATCAAAGGAAAGAAACCAACGGATATAAAAGTTTTTCTTATGAAAAATGTTAATGATCTAGATTTGTCTCAAATTGATAGCGAGCGAAAGAACTTACTAGTGTTTGACGACTGCGTAGCGCAAAGAAATCAAGCCGTTCAACAAGAATTCTTCAAGAAAGGAAGACATCACAACTGTCACTGCATATACCAATCCCAATCTTTTTACGGGATGGATTCTATGTTCATTAGAAAAAATGCGAATTGTTTTTTTATTATTTGAATTAAACGACAAAGATTTATCTCAAATCGTTCAATCGATAAATCACGGAATGGACAGAGATACATTCAAAAAATTTTGTAAAGCTCAATGTAGAAATCCAGATGATTATGGATATGTATTTGTAAATACTAGAAAACCTGCGGGTGAAAGAATTATAATCGACATTTCATTTCTTTAGAAATGAGTAGCGATTGGAATAATATTTTAAAAAGAAATAGAGAATATATCAAAGCTAAGAATAAAGTAAAGACCCAAGTTGAAAATAACAGATTACAACAACTCGGATTAACGGAAAATCTACAAACTCTATTTCAACCCATATTAAAATCTCAAGAGGATATTAAAAGGAAATTAGAATATAAACCTTCTATAGAACCTACACCTCCTATAGAACCTCCCAAAGCGATTGAATATCATGGTATTATAATTAGGACAATAGATGATGTAAAACATTATTTTTCAAACCCTGGCCCAGATTTACCAAAGAGCATTTCACCAATCATTGATGAAGCAGGGTTACGGTTTAATGGATTTAGAATAAGATTTAGGGCAAATACCCCCGAATTTATATAATCGATACAAAAGATTATATATACACATTAATGAAAGGATTAATAGATTTAATGAATGGCGAGGATGTTGAAATTGCCGATTATAAGGATTTAGTAGCATACTCAAAATTTCTAGATGCAATAAGAAAGTCAGGACCCGAAACAAGAAGATCGAAAGAAGTTAAAATATATAAAAGAGTAATTGAAGAAGAGGAATCAGATGATTATCCAATCACACAAGAAATAGACGAATTCGAAGATATGGTATCTGGAGAAGGTATAACGTTTTTATCCGACAACAACGAGGAACTACTTAATAGATTACGAGTAATATCGATCGCACAGACAATATAATGAAGTGAATTGTATATTAAAAAGACTCCTAGAGAAAGTTATCATAGATAAAAATGATTATAAAAGCGTGATTAAAAATGTCAAATAAAGAACAACTATTCGTCATCACCTCTAATAAATCAGACATTAAATTGTCTCTAGATTATGAGTACGAACTCGATCGCAATCAAGAATATGAATTGGGATTAAAGTATTTCTCTGTTTACAATTCCATTAGAAATATCAACGAAAAAAATAACCAAATAAAAATATCAACAGATAATGGAGCCATTAACGAATACTTATCTGAATCCGCAGGAAGCGTCAATGGTAAAAACAATATTCAATTCGAAGGTAATTTGAATCTAAACAAAATAAAATTGATATTAAGAAATAATTGTCAAGTTGATTTCAACGTAGAAAATTCATTGAATACTTTACCAGGCTTTGATAAAAAAATATACACCCAATCCACTTTAGCACCACACAAAGCTAATATCGAGAATGATATCGATGTGATAAATATACATTGCAATTTGATAAATGGTGGATTTTTCAATAAATACAAACGTCAGATTATTTACAGTCTTCCAACATTCACTGTTCCTATTGGATATAGAATTATAGAGAAACCATTTCAAACGACGTATTTACCACTTAATTCCTTTATGATTAAAGATATAAATCTGGAAATCAAAATCTGGTAAAATAGGTTTATAGATTTTGGTAACGAAGAAATTGTTATTCAACTTCACTTAAAACAAAAAAACTAAATTTATTCTGATGGATCATCATTAGATTCATTTGTAAAATAATCAAAATCATCAAATACATAATCATCATCCAAACACATCTCATCTTTATTGTTGTAAGGATACATAATTCCTTCACTGTTTGGTGCTTTTCTCTTAACGTCTTAACGAGATTCAGATAACTTCTGAAAACTTTCTTTTGTTTTTCATTGAGAATAACTATTCCATCAGTAAAACTTTTTAACCAAGGTTTCTTAAATTCATTCGTTACGTCATGTCCACTAGCTAATCGAATATAATCTTCGACGCCTATCTTATCTTTAGAGTAACCCTTAAACGTTTTCTTTTCTTTTAGAATACCGTCGGAATTTAGAATGATATTGTATTTTACTTTTGGCGCTAAATATAAACCAAACGTATTGCTCGTAAAAACTGATAACTGAATACTTCTTTTTTTGGTTCTGGATTTCTAATAATACTGATGGTGGAGTTTCCGTTTCCAATATCATTTGAAATTCACTAAATGAAAGATAACTATCTTTATCTGGAATGACCAACATTCTAAACCTATCTATATATTTTTCACTCGTTTTAATTTCATATAAGTGAAATCTCTTGTTGTTTTCGTCGTTACTTTCATATTCTTTAGTTTCTACATTTTTTGTACCATTGATAAACTGAAGAACTTTGCGAGCGTTAAATTGATGATTAGATGATAGTGGGTTTTGTCGGAAGAATATTGAATCAACTTTTACCTGAAAAGGAAAAGTTATTTCAATTATAACTTTTTCTTCAAAAAAAAATCTGTTAGATGATCGCTCTTAAATATATCATAGGGGTGGTTTAATCTTGAAGGAGAAAATACTCTATATTTAGTTTAAATCCATATTTTTTAAATTCATAGTCTTTTGATTTATCAATATTATCAGTAATAGAAGCATCTTTATTACCAAAATTTCCAAATGGAAGATTGAAATAATATGATTTATTTTCTTGGTTGAGTTGCTTTTCTAATGCGAGTATATTTTTATCCTGTTTTAAAACTAGGTTATTAATAGTGGTTATCTGTTGTTGAATAACACTATCATCAATGTTCTGTATTTGTTGATGAATATTTGTTAGTTCTTTTTGTAATTCACTGTTAAGTTTAGTTTCCAGAGCATTTAATTTCTGTTGAAATGTATCTTCATCTGGAATGTTATCTATCAATTGTTTTTGTTTTGCAATCTTATCCTCTAATTTAGATATTAATGAAATTAACTCAGTTTTGTTCACTACGTTGACCAATTGTTCTTCAATAAAACTTTTCAAACTTGTTACTTCTTGTTGTAATTTAGTATCATCAATAAAATCTTTATTATTCATTTGTCGTTTGAAGAATTTTTTCACATCATTTATTCTTTCTTTTAAATGGTCTTTATTTACTTCAATTAAATTTAATTGTTCCATTAAATATTTCTTGTGAATTGCACCATTATCGTTTTCCGGAGACTTCAAATTAGTTATGCTAAAATTGTTCATATCTAAATCACCTTGAAGAGTGTCTCCGATTTGATCCAGGAAGTAAGGTTTTGCTTTATTTATCCACGCTGTAGTGTTTCTAAAGACAAAGAACCTAATCCAAACTTATTCGCCATTTTTATTGAGTTAAATTTATTACAATTTCTTCGAATTGTTTTCCTAAACTCAACTGATATAAAACCCAAAGTGAAAGCTGACCACAAAACTTTTGTCCCGGTAATTGAATTTGAAACATTTGATTGGTTTATTAGTCAATTGGATTATCTCTTCAGTGGGTTCTAATCCATAAGAATCGAAGAAATAAAAGTCAGAGTTTTTGCACAAAGCAGAAAGATGAACTCCTTTTTGATCGGAAGTATGTATATTTGTTATAGCGTAAAATTTACCTTTCTTATATTTAAGATTATTTATTTCATCTCTCATACAATAATAAAACGGTGATATATTTAACTCATTCGCCCATCTCATAAGTTGAAAGTTTGTGGTTGTATCGGTTCCATATTTATCGAGAAATTCATTTTTAAAAGTCGGTTTTTTGAAGTTCGTTTTGATAAAACCTACCTATGATTTGTTCTTTGTCTTGATCGATTAATTCATATGTTGGAGGTGATGTGGTGTTTACTTTAAACGATAAATATTTCGTTTGTCCAGTATCCAACGTAACCTTTTTCGAATTTACTTTTATATTTGAAAATACGAACTCGATCTCCGACTTTAAATTTGGGTTTGATATTTAAATTCTTTATTTTATTTTCGTAGTTATGTTGCGCGTTAATTGACTTTATAATATTTGGATTACTCGAGGCTTGTGTTGGTGTGACACCTATAGATGAATGAATTTTGTTATTGTATTCATCTACAACCTCTGGTAATATTTTAAGCCATTTTTGAGATTTCAATTCCGTGAACTTTTTGAATAATTTATTTTTTAGAGTCCTGTTAAATCTTTCTATTACTACAGCTTTACCTTCGTTATGCGTACTGTAAATTTCAAATCCCAGAGATTTCATATTTTTGTTATAAAATTCACTTCCTTTATCTACCCACAGTTTTTCTGGATGACGGTTAGATTGTTTCATAATCGTTTCAAATGCGTGTTTGACTGATAATCCCGTTTTGTTTTTGAGAGGAATAACCCATACATATCTCGTATATAAATCTATCACTGTTAAGCAATATTTAAATCCTCTTTCGACTGGCATATGAATTAAATCGGCTGACCATATTTCATCTTTTTCAAACACTTTGACTTTTAAAAAGTTTTTAGTTTTTCTAAATTCTTTATGAATTTCATCCGCCAATCCCATACCTAATTTCATCTTTGCTTTTAACAGTTTAATGATTAATGCTCTTTGCATTCTCTCTTTGAAAGTTGGATTTGGAATATTTTCAAGTTCTATTATCATTTGTTTGTCTGCTTCGTGTCTAAACTTTATGTCTTTGTTCCTGTATAAAATATCGTGTTTAAGCGCAGCGGCGTCAACTCTATTGACTGGTTCTTCCCCTGGTTTGGGTTTATCGTTTTCGTCTAATCGTAGATCTAACCTAGTGCCTGGACCGGTGTAATTGTGCCCTGGGAGATGTTTTTCTCCGGGATATTTCGCCCATGGAAATCCAGGAAGAGAACCCAATGATTTTTGTATATCTCCTGAACCGAAATAAGTTTTTGGAGCGTGAGCGACTATCATTTTTTATCCTATAACTTTAAAACCTTTTCCTTTCCTTTCTTCTAATCTCCTGTTTCGAAGTGAAACGAAATGAGTGATTTGTTTTTTGAAACAAAGCTAGCTACTTTTGGAATTATTGTTTTACCTAGAGAAAATAATGAAGAACAGATACCGTTGCCCGAATAATCTTCGAATCTGTGTTGTTCGTGTTTTAGAATTAAACTCATCCTATTTTTAAATGAATTAATTTAGTATGTTTTTTATCCAAAAAGAGTTATCTCCCTTATAGAAGTCTCTAGACTAAAAATAACATTACTTAAAACGAGGCTATTAAAAATGTTATGTTATTTTATATAAGGGTATTTTTAATATGCTTTTTTTGATGGAATGTAGGAAATTGATTGAAGGTGTTTTTAGTGTATGAAATGTAGGATGTTTTATGAAATGTAGGGTGTTTTGCTGTAAGAATTTATGAAATGTAGGGAATTTATGAAATGTAGGGAATTTATGAAATATAGGGAATTTAGGTCTTGTTTTTTTGGGAGTTCATAGATTGTTTGGATTTTTCCCATGAAATGAAAAAAAGGGGAATTCCCATGAAAAGGGGAAAACCCATGAAAAGGGGAATTCCCTTCGAACAATCTATGAACACTTCACTACTTCTAATTTTCTAAGAGTCTTGGGTATACTTCTTGGATTAGTGTAGATCTCCACTTATTGAATGTAAATAAAGTGTTGTTAATATCTTAGCTGTTATCTCATTTGGAAAGTAAATTCATAGCCGACAGAAGTCCGTATCCAGTTTCTTACAAACGACTATACAGTTTGTAAGAATAATCTACCTTGCAGTTTGCAAGTTGAACCCGACAAACAAGCTTCTCTACAGTGGCGCAGTGGCGGTACGTTCCTGCATATTAAGAGGTCGTCACAAAACACAACAACAGTGAAGTCCTAACCAATTTCATCCACGCCTTGAAGATATTGATGAATAATTTACCCAGGGAGGTAATATTATAAACATGCCAGTCGGTTGCTCCGGACACAATCCCGCTTTTTCCATACCTCATTATTTACAAGCAGAAAGTAGCTATCAAATTCGCCAATCTAATTACAAGTTACTGGATCTCTCCCAATATTTGTTTAATTTAACTCTTAAACAATTTCCCAATTCCACCACTCTTTCTGGAAAAACCTTACTCAAGACCCTTCCTAAATTCACCATCTTAGAGTCTACACCACTTACTTTCAGAAATTCAGGACGTCAAGTATTCCAATCTCATGATGAATAATCCTTTCACAATGAAAGCTCATTGGCTATATTACTTTCTCGTCTCTCTTATCACCTTGCTCGTCCTCTTATTCTCTTCCTATTTTTTCTATAATAAATGTATCAGATCTCGACATTGAAAAATCTAAAACGGCAATTAGTGCAGTCATCAAATACCACTCAATTGGCAACAACTTATTCGGCAGTATTACCAGTTCCAAAGAAACGACAGAAAGCTTCCCCAGAATATATCCCACCCAGATAACCCCAAAGCAATTTCCGAACCTGAAGACGACGACCATTACCGAGCACCACTGTTTACCCGCAACATTGAATTAATCGCCTAATCTACCACAACCGTCCTCCAGCGAACCTATCCAGATTTCCAGAAGATACCTACCAATGCTCACGTGTGTGTTATTTTGGAAATAAGTGTTGATCGGTCATCAACATGTGTGCCTCCGGCTGTGTTTGTTTTTTTGGAAATAGGTGATGATCTCTATCATCAGGTGTGTCAACGTTATTCCTGGAAATAGGTGATGATACCATATCATCATGCGTGAAATAATTATTTTTTTCAGCGTTAAGACATTTCCGGAAGGACAACCATTTTTTAAACAAAATTTTTTTCGATCTACATGGGCATGTTCCTTGATTTCTACGTCAGTAATTCTTCCTTGTTTGACATATTATTTGCTTTGTTTTTATTTTGTTTGTTATCCTTTTCATTTTTTTGTGGTATATTATATTTTTTTTATTTATTTTATTTTTTTTTTATTTTTTTTTTGCTTTTATTTTTTTTTTGGGTTGTTCAAGAAAATCATAATTATGTATTTTCTAGATTAATATATGTTATATTGCTAATCTACATTAGTCCAGAAGTAAACTATACGGAATCACGTCGGTAACCTTCAACATGTAATAGTCTAATAGGGGTAATCACGGGT